AAGTTCTTTATGTTTATCTGTATAGTAATAGCTAACATTACTATGTACCCTATATATGTTAATTTAAGTCTTGCAATACCTGGGAAGATATATTCTACCAATATCATTTTCTCTATTTTACAGGTGCAAAACATAAGACAGAGGGAAGCTTAATAACTTGCCAGAAATCACACAGCAGGTACAAGATTGAACTGAATCTAGACTCTCTGCTGCTAACCACTACACTAGTCCCTTTCAAAGTCAACTGATTTGTCCGAGATGTTTGACAAATCTATCAAGCATATCTTTGGTTTTAAACCTTTTTTAAAAATGAAGACCTTTTTATTGCAAATATAAGATACTGCAAAAGTATACAGAATAAAAGATTAAATTCATTCTGAAATAAACACATCAGTTCATTCGGTATCATCCTTAGAGATCATCAGGAGCAGTGCAGTATGTATATGCCCAGATCTTTAATTATACAGTAAGCCCCCAATTTAGGAACGAGTTCCATTCTGGGAGACTTGTTTGTAAGTCGGATTCCCTCATGAGCTGACAAAGTGAGTCTTATATTGTATGCCTGTGAAGATTCCCAACTTGAATGTTCAGAAGTCAGGAACTTGCTGTATGGATTTACATAGCTCAACCCTAGGTGCATGGGTATGTGTGTAGTAGGTGTGTGGACTGGTGCATGCCTTCTTCTACATACATGAAATTACACTCTACACTGATGACATTTTGCCAGTCCTTAAATCTGCCTTGTTCTTTTTCTTTTCTCTCCCTCCCTCCCTTTCTTTTTCTTTCTTTCTTTCTTTCTCTTTCTTTCTTCCTTTCTCTCTTTCTTTCTTTCAAACACATTATATTAGCCTTTGACTTCTACATGTGTGAACTTTATTTTATTTTATTTTTTGGTACCAGCAGTTGAACTCAGGACCTTGTGCTTGCGAGGCAGGTAGCAGAACCACTGAGCTAAATCCCTGGCCCTCTTTCTTTCTTTTCTTTCTTTCTTTCTTTCTTTCTTTCTTTCTTTCTTTCTTTCTTTCTTTCTTTCTTTCTCTCTCTCTCTCTTTTTTTCTTTCTCTTTCTTTGTTTTTCTTTCTTTCCTATAACTTATCAGTGTCTTTTAAACAGAATGAGTCCTAGGGGCCAGGGATTTAGCTCAGTGGTTCCACCACCTGCCTCGAAGGCCCAAGGACCCAAGTTCGACCCCCAGTACCAAAAACAAAAACAAAAACAAATAAACAGAATGAGTCCTAGAAATACCCTCATAGATGGTGTGGGGTTCCTTTGAGAATCTGCCTCATTCTTTTTCTTTTCCTTACTTTCTTTTCTTTTCCTTTCTTTCTCCCTCTCTCTCTCTCTTTCTTTCTTTCCTTCAACTGACCAGTGTCTTTTAAACAAAATGAGTCCTGGAAATACCCTCATGGTGTGGGCTTGCTTTGAGGGGACAAGGTAGGAGGCAGAGGGCCCCAAGAGAATTTAAGGACAAAGATGGTCATGAGCGACTATAGTAAAAGGATCACCCCAAAATACTTGTAGCAGCTTGCATTTATCTCCTCAAGCGGCTGTAACAAAGTGCTGCAGAGTGGGTGGCTTGACACAACACAATGTGTTCCCTGGCAGTGTGGAGGCCAGCAGTGCAAGATGAACCTGTCAGGCGGGCCTCTCTGCCTCAGAGTGGAAAACCCTTCTGGACCCTGTCCAGTGCCTGGGTCCCAGCAATCTTTGCCCTGTAGCTCCATCCCTCCTGTCTCTGCCTCCTTCCTGTACCTTCTTCCCTATGAAGGTACCCCTGTGCCTGTCCTCTTCTAATAAGGACACCAGTGATTGGACTTCAGGCTGTCTCTAATCCAGTATGACTTCATCTTTCTCCACTCCCCCCACCCCGGCAGTACTGGGGATTGAACCTACAGCTTTTGCACTGAGCTACAACCCCACCCCCCTTTCATCATTTTAAAAATTTAGGACAGCATCTTGCTGATGCCTAAGATGCCTAAGCTGAGCTCAAACTTGTGACCCTCTTGCCTCAGCCTCCCAGAGTGCTGAGAATACAGGTGTGCGCCACAACGGGTGGCTTGACTCTATCTTCATTTCATTACATCTGCAAGACCCCGTTTCTAAATAATGACAAATTTTAAGGTTACAGAGTAAACATGTTTTGTGGTACATCCCTGTTCAACCTACTTTACAGGTCTACGGTTTCCACTTACATAAAGATGGCGTTAAAGGGCCAGGGATTTAGCTCAGTGGCATGACGTTGGCCTCGCAAACGCAAGGTCCTGAGTTTGATCCCCAGTACAAAAAGAAAAAAGATGATGTTAATACTCAATTGCCTAAACATCTACCACCTTGTTTAGAATATAATGAGTAGTTACACTAGGTTTTGAGTGACTTTCAGTTGAGAAACTCAATGCCCTGGTGCACAACTCCAAATTTTTTATTTTTTTTTGGTACCGGGGATGGAACTCAGGACCTTGCACTTTTGAGGCAGGCAGTGGAACCACTGAGCTAAATCTCCAGCCCCTCCCTCCACATTTTTGCAACATAGCTGAAGTTTATTTATATACAGTGTTGCAGTATCTTTAAGGTGTTGCACTAGATCTTTTGCTTTAGCCACAATCCAGCATGCACAAGAGGGACAGGCATAAAACTATTTAAGATGGAACTAAACAAATGGATTCTAGGCTAAATCATAAAACCTCCGATCACTCTCATTCTGGGGAGAGAAAAGAGAAGAGTTTCGATCTCCCCACATGTGCTTGCATCTCGGCCTTGGCAAGAACTCCCATGGTTCTTTCTTCCACTTTAGGTGAGGTGTTCTTGTCGCCTCCTGAGATGACCCATGTCACCTCCAGGCAACTTCACTTACAGGTTCTAGCCAGGTGTGTTGGAACACCTATAATCTCAACACTCTGGAGGCTGAAGAAAGAGGATTGCAAGTCCTCAAGCTCAGACTCACCAAGCCCTGGGGGGGTGGGGGCCTGAGAGGTGTCTCAGTGCAAATGCCCTGCATTCAATCCCTAGTACTGGGGAAAAAATTAAAAATAGCTTCTGTCTTCTACTATCATTTCTGTGCTGCACACTAGACCATGGGGCTCAGAGAGCTATGCCAACGATGCAAACACACGGGGAAAGACTGTAAGGATATATGACAAAGGTTTTGTGTGATTTCCTTTATTTCCTAAAGTTATACAAGCACACATGAAATTTTTTCTTTTTAGATATGGTCTTGCTGTGTAGTTCAGGCTGACCTTAAACTCACTACATGGCCCAGGCTGGCCTTGAACTCGAGGCAATCCTCTTGCCTCAGCCTCCCAAGTGCTGGGATTACAGGCATGCACCACCATGAATCACTCTTTAACACCGTAATTATGGGGCTTTCTGATTAGGCTGTCAGACAGTGGCAGTCTGGATTTGAACTCGTGGCTGGACTACTTCCGGGAGGCAGGGTTTTCTGGACTCCAGGTGTCAGGGCTCTTCCTCCACCAGTATGAGCTTCCAGGTCTGCTTTGGCTCTCAAGACAGAGCAGAGGAGGGCTTGACAGGAGCTGAGTCCCAGGCCTGGGGCCCTGAGTGACAAGCTGTCCTCCCGCACCTCCTCCCCACCGAATACCCTCTAGGTCCCAGAAGACATCAGTCCTTGCATTTGTTTGCCTGATTGTTCCTGGACTAACCCTGAAGAGGAGGTGTATCTGGCCCTAAGAGCTGGGAAAGCGCCTCCCCTAGAGTGTGGCTGAACGCACAGAGTGATTACGATGCTTATCAGCGCTGTCTTCACGGCTGCTGAAGTGAGACGCCCCGGCCCACAAGGCCAGCGATTGCGCCAGAGCCCTCGCGCGCTGGCGAGCAGGTGACGCTGCTGCTGACGACCAGCCGGGGCGGGGGTGGAGGTGGCAAGAGTAAGGGGAAGAGGGCGTATTCCCGTGGTGAGGCCAGAAGCCTCCCTGGGTCGCCCGCCACGAGGCGAGCGCGGGGGGGGGGGGGGGGGGCAGCGGGGGGGGCGAACGGGGGGAGCGCTCTGTCCTCTCCCTCCCGCTGCCCTCCCTCGGGACGCAAAGTAGCGGCCGTGTCCTCAGGCGATCCGGGCTTCCCCGCGTCACCGCAGCCGGGCGCCCCCCGCGGCGCTGCCGTTCACAGCTGCGACACTTAGGGCGCGAGCGGCTCCTGGGCGCGACGGGCTCTCGGAGCTGGGATTCCCGCGCCAAGCAGCAGGTCTGAGTTTGGGGGCTGCTCGGCTGCGCGCTCCCAGCGCCGAGTTGCAGAGTCCCTTCCCGGAGAGACTCTGGAGATAGACGCAGTGGCTCAGGGACACAGGGGAAGAGCACGGGCAAGTACGGAGAGGCAAAGCCAGATACACAGACAGGCTGACGCACGGACAGGCAGACAGGCAGGCAGCCGGGGACGGACAGACCCGGAGGAACAGCCTGGGGCCCGCACAGCCCGGGGCCCCACCCTCAGGCACCGCTTCCCGCCCTTGCTCCTGCCGGGCTGCGCCTTTCCCGCTCTCCGCGCCGCCTTCGGCCAGACGCGCCCTGCCAGCTGAGCCGCCGCACCGGGTCCCCCTTGCATACCTCTCCCAGCCTGGGGACCCGCTCGCGCCCAACCTTCCTCGGGGCCTGGGGGGCAGGTCCTGGGGGGCAGATCCGGTGCCCCAGAGCCACGTGCTGGCCGCGCCCCGCAGCGCTCGGCCCGCGCCCCGCCCCCTTCCGCCGGCGGCCCCGCCCCGCCCCCGCGCTCTGCCGCAGTCGGGCGCTCATCGTCATTCC